GGCGCGTTGGATGTCGTTGGTTTCACCGGCACCGCCAACGCTCGATCGACATCGTCGTCCGTGTTGAAATCTACAACTGTGACAGTCCCAATACCACCAATCTCAAACGTTAACGAATATTTAAACCGAGGGGTAAACCGCTGATCAAAATCATGTACGGTCATGGTCAGAAAGGTTGTCCGACGTTGTACAATAAGTTTTCGGAATATTCGTATGTATCATTGCATAGATATTCGTACGCATCATTCTTTTGCTCTAATAATGCGTCACTGCACATATCCGTGAGCAAAGGCTATACATTCCAAAATTTATTATAAAACAATTACTGGCTGCAGGAAAATATCCTGTATTGTCACACAACATTTCGGCCATGGGTTTCGGCCCTTTTCAAGTGTATATTACAACCTCAAGTCGGAAATGAGGTATCATATCGCAACCACGCATATCTTGAGACATTGGGTTTGTTTTCTGTTCCTGCACTGGTGAACTAGTGCAGTAAGCTAGAATGAGAAAAAATATGCTTGTCTTACTCCAATTTATTGCACTAGTTCACTAGTGTAGGAACAGAAAACAAGCCTATTATGTCTTTGTAGTGATATGCCTAACTGGGCCTAATGGCATTTAATCACATACCGACTTGATGCTGCAATATACACTTGAAAAGAGCTAAAACCCATGACCCGAAACGTTGTGTGACAATAAAGAACATTTTCCTGTAGCCAGTTGTGTCGGATTACTCAACCCAATTGTTAACTAATCGCTGGCGATTTAATTATTCCAAATTATTATAAAACGTTGAACAACCTTTCTGACCACGACCGTAAATCAATGCCTATGAATGCCCAGCGGGCATTACTTTATCTTACTGTCTTATTTATCTTAACTGGTTTTATCCTTAAAATGCCCCAGCGAGGCCTAATGCCCAAGCTAATGCTCAAAAAATGTCTAGTAATGTCCAGTAATGCTGTGTAAATCTGTACACCGCATGCCCTCGGCGGTTTACCCCTCAATTTAAAGGGTTCACGAAAATGACACTGATTTTGACCCGTTCAGGGTGGCCTGACCCCTTAAGGTAGTTATTTCGTAAATTCATTTATGTGAGAATTGTTTCAAATTTTTACAGTTTATTTTTTACATCAATACGTGCAAAATAAGACTAATTAAACTAAAATTGACCGTCTCAAAGTTCTAAAAAAAAATGTTACAGTTTGCTATGTTACACGAAATATTGCGTGTAAAACACGTTAAAAATATTTTTACACTTAACAATATAATTCCTTGTAATATTATTACACGTGAAATATTATTTATATATATTATTATGCATTAAAATATTAATATTTGCGTTTGCAAACGCAAATGATGGTACATTTTACTTTCTTTGAGCTTAACGGTGAGTGAGATTCCTATGAGAAACAAATATGTTATAAAGTGAAATACAACGAATAGCCGGGGAAAAATCAAAATTATTGATTGTTCCAACAATATAAACAGTTAAAACTGAAAAATGGGAAGAATCATGCAGTAGACATGAGTGTAGTGTAAGGCCTGGTCTACAATGAGTTGTCAGTCGTAAGTCAGAAGTCAGAACTATATGTCGGTCCTTTTTCATCCATCCAGAAAGGAAAGGGATCAACATATAGTTCCGACTTCTGACTAACGATTAACAACAACTCATTGCAGACCAGGCCTAAGAGATGTGGCAGCAGCGCCGCAAACTATAATCTCTCGAATCTATTTTATATTATGTATTAATCGTAAGTGTATTCTTTAGAACAATATTGCATCAAAAATATATCAATGGGTCTGTTTTTTATTGCTGCACTCCTGAACTAGTGCACACTGGTGCAATGAGTTGGAATGAGAGGTAATCTATTTGTTTCATTTTAACTTATTGCACTAGTTCAGTAGTGCAGTAATAAAGAACAGGCCTATTGTAATATATTGAGTGCTGGTTCCTGTCTGGAAGAAACTTTTGAGCATTACTGTCGCGAAACAATTACCTTGCTTACCGATGTCGCCTTCTCTCGTATGTTGCTTTTCATTCCTCACGAACTGCTTCGTGTCTGTCTGATCTGCTTGCAGAGGGACGCCGTTATTGCGTTCACTGCACCCTCCCGGCGCGCTAGATCCCTGCACCGCGCTCGGTTGATCGGCAACGTTATTCGCGTCAAGACACATGTTCGAGGCAGTCGGCACGTCCACCTCGATCCCATTCATCTCGCTCGCACCTGACGCAGATGCTCCGCCCTCGAGTCCGATGTCGCCTTCTCTCACCTGCCGCTCTTCCTCCGTCGCGACAGTCTTCGTGTCCGTCTCATCTCCTTGCAAAGAGGCATCGTTCGGTGCACTGAGTTTCGTTTTCTTTGCCGGCGCCGCGTTCAGTTGCTCAACAACGTTTGCGTCGCTCGAATCAGCCGCCTCTGTCTTGCCTGCTGATGAAGAAAGTGTCGCACCTTTCAACTTCCCGTCGTCGTCTCTCATACGCTGCTTTTTCTCTTTCACGACCGCCCTTGTGTCCGCCTGATCTTCTTGCAAAGAGGCACTCTCGTCACATCTCATAAGCTGCGGCTTACACGAGATTTTCCTCTTTCGTAAATTTGGCATCGGCCTCTCCACCGGCAACAGGTCCCACAACGTGAGCTCGACGCGATTCCTCGCGAATTGATTCCTACAGAGCGTCCTGTAGATCAAACGATAATTAAGTCTCGGCAGAAGGGCGTGTATCAGCCTCGAGTCTTTCAGCAATTCGTCCAGATTGGAGAAATAGTTCTTCGAGGATGTATCGTCAAAATCTTTACTGCACCCTGGCCTCGGGCTCTCCAGCCTACTCGCACCTGTGGAAACGGTCTTTGTGTATATAACATCGTTAGTTTTCTCGGCAACTTTCGCCTCGGGTTTATCCTGAGTCTTACTGGCAGCGGCCTGTCTATAGCCGTTGCTACTGGCCATAGTTGGGGCTCGATTCGGACAATCTGACAGATCCATCGGGTCTGATTCAAATAGATAGAATACATCAGCGTCAGACAACTGTGACGAAGGCTTAGGGTAGTCATTGGCTGTCGCGCTGCGACCGATACTTGGAATCACATTGGAAGTATTATTATGAGAATCCCTGTCGTCGTCGTCGCCGTCGTCGTAGTCGTCGGTATCCGATGAAATAATTATTTCGGCTTGAGAGTCGCGGCTGCGCGATTCCGCGAGAGAGCTCGACACTTTAGATCCAGCAACGTTATCGGAAACCTTATCGTGCTGCATCTCAGATTGAATTTCCATGGCGGACGACTCCGAGTTATTGTATGTTGGACCGAGTATATAAGTATCTTGATCCTCGTCTCCCTCTTCCATGAGGAAGTCAAGGTTCGCTAGCATTTCTTGCATCATGCTTCCGGCTGCGTCTCGCTATCTCTACGCAAGTTTGCCGTTTTCTGTGAGAAATTCAAGAGCAATGGAAATTACGAGACTCAAGAGATAGAAATAACAAATTTTCAGATCTGCGCGAGATAATAGATTACGAAGAGTAAACATATAGATGGTGTAGATAAAAAAATATATAACGTGGAAATGAACACGTGTCACGAGAGGGGGCTATTAGCGAGACGAAAATCTACGGAGAGATGCGAGAAAAACATAACCTGCTTGATAGTTACCTAACGAAGCAGCTCGGCGGCCTGTTTCCTCGACATTCGTTTACGAACGCGGGATTCGCTTCATCTTAAACGATCAATTTCGAGGCATGATAAATCAACACGACACATCACACTTTCCCAATAGACCAAGAAACACCGGAACACAATGGAACAAAAACGTCCGATTACGGCGTTGGTCCTTCTATCTCGCTGCGCGAGCAAAACAGGAAACGAACAAAAAAAACGGCGGGAGAGCGCACGCGCACTGGAGGCAGGACGACGCACTGGAGATCGACGGCGTTCGGCGATGGTTCTGTAGCCAATCAACTTGCAGCCTTTCCGTAAAAGGAAACATGAGAGCGGCCACGCCGGCGTTTCACTTGATACCGTTTCAAGAGACTGTTTTGCGCGCCTTTAA